GAAATCCCATGCAACACTGCAGCCCAGTCACAGCTCCTAAAATGTGCAAAACCACACAATTTCCGTGCTCTGAGCGTAGACAGCACAAATCTGGGGGAGTCAAAAGGAGGTGGTGTTGTTTGCTCCCATTTGCTGCAGCTGAGGCCCTTTCCTCTTCCCCGGCTCCTCACTGGAGAGTGCACCATGTGGCACAGAGCTGTGTTGTGGTAGCACAGCATGTACCGGTTATGGGGTGAGCCCAGCTGAGTGCAGAGCAGTAAGGGAACAGGTCTGCAGGTGAGTGGGTGGCTTTTGTACAGGGAATGACAATGAATCGTGAGTGCAGAGCTGAGCAAACCTTGCCTGGGACAAACTCAGATCATGGTACACCTTTGTGCTGCAAATGGTTATTGCAGATAGCAAGGATCCAGAGCACAGCAGTGCTGTGCAGGTCACAGCCAAGGAAATATAAAGTTTCAGCTTCTCAGAGTTGAGGAGTTAAAGAAATATAAATGTCCTTGCTGTAAATGCAAGGTAAATTATTCATTCTCTCTCACCCCCCTGTTCTCTCTCTCTAGTTCAGTTTTTTCTTTTCATGCTTTAATCGTTTTGACACCAAGCTGTACAAAAGTAATTTAAAATTAACATGACTGACACTTGGTAGATAGCAGGACCGGAGCGGAACTCCACCTCCTGCTCAGGACTGCTGTGCAGGGAATGGGATTGGCTCAGGCAGCTGATGGGGACCAACGAAAAACACAGCAAACAATTAATTTGCTAATTTAGTTTTCTATTTAATTTGAAACCAGAAAATTGTCAGGCGCCCGTCAGCCCACGAGCGAGTGGACGTAGGGCAGCACTGCGCCCCTGATAGCAAAGAGGGGACACAGTAGATTAGATGGCAAAACAATTTCTTACACAAATTCCAATGGCATTTAGGACTTGCCATCGTGTCTTAGCATTTAAGTTCAGCAACACTGCATTTTTGTGCATGCAATAACTGTCTCTTTGAGTGGGAAGGAGGCAACGCGCACATGTTGCAAAGAATCCCAGAGCCTCTGCCAACGTGGCAATGCCGCGGATGTGTAGCAGTGTGCAGGGAGAGCTCCAGTGCTCACACAGCGCTGGTGAAGCATAACAAGCTGCACAGAGACTAATGTGCTCTGATGGAGAAATGCTCTAATTTGATTTCCTCCCTTCAGCTGTGAAGGAGAATATGTAATTTCAGATCTGCTTGGAGTGAGTCTTTTGAGCTCATGTGCCCTTTATGCTTGATTTTAGGCCTGGTTTCGATGCAGTAATGGAACTGTGTCTATTTATTTTGTGTGTCCAGTTCCAGATTTCACTCCTGGCCCATCAGAACTGGTTCATCAGGACCAAAAATTTGAGCTGCAGCTCAAATTTCCATCTCATGCATCTGCCTGGATTTGCAGCTGTGCTTGCGGGTGAAGTTGTGAACACATTAAGTAAATTGGTTCATTCCCAGCAGAGGGAGCGTGGGTCAGGCTGGGTTCAGCGGGGAGTCAAGAGGCCAAAGCGGGGATCGTCTCCCAGGGAAGTGTTGCTTTGCTTTGCTGCCCAGATGGTTTTCCAAACCCAAATGAACCCAGAGATATGACACATGCAAGGCTATGACCACTCCTGGGCTCCTCAGCCCACAGATCTCTTCATCCCCTTTGTAGAAGATGCTCCATAAGTCGGAGTCACTAGATGGTACTGTTGCTGTTTAATATTTATGCCTCTGTGGACTGGCTGCTTGGGGAACCCGCATTTCTGCTGAGAGATGAAGAAAGGCCTCATAACTCATCAGGCAAACACAAGGAAGGAGCTGAGGGAGGCAGGAGCTCAGTTCTGCTCCTGTAATTCCGTGGTTGGAAGAATGGCAAAGGAGCTTCACTCTGGCTGCTCTGCTTCCTGAAGGGGAAATGTAGTCAGGCTGGCTCTGCCCATAAAGGCCCAAAACACAGCTCTTGGAGACCTCCATTTACAGAGGATGGAAATTTTGATGGGGGGATGCCAGCTTAGGGGGCTTAGCCTGCACAGGTTCCCCAAACCCTCAGAATTACCGCAGTGACATTCATCACGTGAATCCCAGCACTGCAGGAAGTCAGCAACCTTCCCACAGCAGCCAATGGCAACAAGCAGGTCATTGTGCTCTGTGTAGTCCCAGCCAGAATGTGCTCATCCCAGCCCATGGGGCTGCTACAAGAGGGGAAAGTCAGGCCAATTAAATCAGGCAGCATTAAATCCCTAATTGACATAAATGAGGCAGGCAGACAGCTGGGAGGGATGGAGCAGGTGTCCTGGGTGAGAAAGGGCTGGAATGCACCCTGGGGTCCTGCTGTGCCCTGTAAACATCTCAGGCAGTGGTAGAGCTGTGGTAGAGTTTATGGGATTGTTCCTAAAAAAACTACAAACAATCCCCAAAGAACTCTCAAAAATGTCTTTTACTGTACGTGTTGCACAAAAAGTGTTTTTGTTTCATGCAAGTTGCACATAAGGCCCTGCTGAATGATGGTAAAGTAATTTTAAATTCTGTTTGTTTCTTTTTCTACATCTGGGGACTGCCGGACTGGGTATACCCCCTCTGATTTATCAGGGAGTATCCTTTCTCCTCGAGGAGACCCTTCAAATATGAATTCACGCCTTTCCAAATTATTGAAATCTGTGCTTTGCAGAGGGATGAGGCACGGAAGCTGAGGAGGCACCGCCACTGCACTCCATGCAGGAAACCAGAATGTGCCCATGGACATCCTCACCCAGGGCATTGTTCTGATGGAAACAAACACTTTTGGCCATTTTCTGGAAAAATCTTACCTGTGCCATGCAGAGAACAGAGGGCACCCGCAGGTATGGAGCACTCAGGGTCTCCTGTAGAAATTGGAGTGGAGAAGCCCTAGTAGAGTAGTGAGCAGGAAGAGAGTGACATTTAGCAAATAATCATTAACAAAATCATTCTCTGATGACTTCAGGCAGAGGAGGAAGGAATTTGCCTTGCAGCTCTGGAAATGATGCTCACAAATCTGTGCTGGCAGAGGCTCCTGTAAGTGAAGTCTGAACTCAGCCCTTGTTGTAATTCCATAATTTGAATATCATTTTCACAGACCTTGCAAGATGCAGATGAATGAGAGATTCCTGGCTTTGAGTCAAATGCAACAGTAATTAAATGTTTATAAAACACTTTAAGCTTGTGAAGCGCTATTATCATATACAGGAAAGCAATAGGCAATAGAAGACTGGAGCAGGGTTTGAAGCACACAGTGAGCACAGCACACTCCTGCAGCTTTCTTCTACAGGTGCTAACAGAGCATCATGAAGAACATTACCAAGCTCCTTTTATTATAACCAGAATGTCAACTAGAATTGCTTTCTTCCATATGAACATGTGTGATTGCAAAGTTTTTCCCTCTGCAATAAATCTCCCTGCCGATGGGCAGCATTCAGTTATCATCTTGGGAAATGAGAAAGCGCTGCCACTGCTGATCTTTCCCATCACACCAAAGACGTTAGAAACCTAGAAACCTGCTACAGGTTTCTAACACCATCTGCTGTTTAAAAATAAGACAGCATTGGAGATACCATCACACAGAGTCTGTGCTCTCTTGATAAGCCAGCTCATCTAGAAGGGTTGGTGTAATTGGCACATTCCACTTTTGTTCCTTCAGCCCCAAACATATTTCAGCTTGTTCTTAATTATGAAGTGAATGATTTCTTAGGGACTCAGGGACCAGTGAGCAGCAGCTGAGAGCCAGACCCCAGCATTCTCCCACTGCCAAACCTGACACAAAGAATCATAGAATCATAAAACTGTTTGAGTTGGAAGGGACCTTACAAGAACTTACAGATTTTTTTTAAGACAGAGACACAGGCTCTGCAGGGTGTGGGGAACTCAAAGAAAACCTTTATTTTTTCAAAAATACCAGTATTTACCTCTTACTGTCTCACGCTGCTGCTATGTGATGGAACAGATGCTCCAACCAAGGATTCTTTTGCTGCTTCCTAACTGAAAGCAATACCAATTTTTGTCCCAGGAAAAACAAGAGCACCTTGGACCTCATTAAATGTCCAAATCAAAGTTCTCATCACCAATGCTCTCAGTTTTTGTTGCACAGTGCTTCTTCAAAAACAAAAAGAGTTTACTCCAAATGGGTTCTAAGTGGCTTCACCCATAGTCAGTGCAGTGCTTCTATTGCTACAGATTCAGATGAAAAAAAAAAAAACCAAATGCCACAATTCTTAAAGTCTAATACTAAACAGAGAATGCAGCTATGTGACCCTTCTCGAGTTGCTGGCCCATTTACAACATCACCCCCATATTTAACATTTATAACCCCCTTCACACGCATCATTTAAAGAGTCAGTGGCTCCTTTTGTAAGCGATCGGCTACTTACTCCAGCATTTTACAAGCACTTCCTGACAAAGGAGACCTTTTACATGTCAATTTATTTTCAGACAAGCATATCTGAAAGGGAGTTTCTCTCCAGAGCAGAATTAGTATTAATGGCAGGTGTTCCGGCACCGCACAAAGGAGAAAGGCAGCAAGTGAGCTGCGCTGAGTGGTGAGACAGCTTGATGTGTTAATAACCAGAGCAAGAAAATGGAGTGGCAGTAGACCTCCAGCTTCCATAGATGAATGAAGGTTTTATTCATTGCCTCCCCCCGTACTTGAAAAAGACGTTGATATGTTTAAAATGTTGTCTTTGCTTTCAAAGGGGGATTACATTGTTGAATGTTACATGAAAGCACAGCACATGCCCCACATCCTGGCGTGTGCCCACAATCCCAAAGCATCCTGAAGCCCAGCTGGGGGCTGGTGGCACCCTGAGGCCAACCCATCCTGGGCTCATCCCAGCCAGTCAGTGACTGGTGGCAAATCTGCAGGAAGAAGTTAGAACTGCATAAACTGATACAAAGAGGGTGCATGGAGCTGTGCTGCATTTCACTAAGGAAAAAAGATGATTTCTTAGAGAGTTACCAGACTTCAGTTTCCAAACAGCCCAAGAACTCTTGGTGGGAACAGTTACCAGGCCAAAATGCATTTATTTATGCTCCATTTAATTTGACAGGTCAGAACCACATCATTAACAGGAAGGCATGGCTGCTTCACACAGTGGGAAGAAGGAAAACAGTCTCTCAGCTGGGTCAGCCCTTCAACAACAGAAAACATTGCTGATTTATGCTCCTAAATGGGAAAGCTCAGCCTTTCCTACACAGAAATTGCATTTACACAGAGAGAGATGCTCATTGCTATCTCCAGGCCACTTGGCTGCAGGTTAACACAGTACCTAGGCACAGCTGAATAATTCCAGGTAGACTCCGTGATTAGAAGCTGGATCCCAGATTTCAGCTTGCCAAAGCTTTCCTATGGACCTATAGGACAGCAGGTTGAAGGAGCCCCATTTTCACTCTGAGTAATGTGACCTCCATTCAGATGATAGCAATTAATCCCTCTATATTTTGGGAAAGGTTTAATGCTGTCAGAGAAAACCACAAAGGGAGCAAGGAGCCGCCTGGTCACGCAGATACCCACAGCTCTCATACACAGAAATCAACACGTCCTTTTTTATTGAGCACTGGAATTTAAAAAGTAACAGCACTTGGTTGATTGGGAACTAATAATCAAAACTTGCCCGTAGCAGAAATTCGCACAAGGATGCTTGCTGACTTCAGTCACACCCTTGTGCACCCATAGCCTTTGCGATTCTGATCTGCCAGCACTGGGGCAGCTCCAGCGCTGGCCTGCAGGTGAGAGTGGGTCTGGGATTTACTTCTAGCACAGTTCAACTCAAAGCGTTGGTTTCTATTAACACTAAAATGCCCTGAGAGAAGGAGTTCCCCTCCGCAGCCCACATCCTGCCACCTTTCCTGTTGATTCCTGCCTTGTCCTAACTAGGTCTCATTATTTCCCACTGCAAAGTGGTGTAAATACACCTGAGAGGAGGTGGCCCAATATGCAGCCCTGCTACAGTACTGCTGGTTTGCCTGTCACGGGACAAATGACACAGCTCTGTAGATCTGTGTGCCCTGGTGGCCAAACAAGGCCAGTGGTAACCTGGGATGAATTAAAAAAAGCGTGGCTAGCAGGACGAGGGAGGTGATCCTGCCCCTCTGCTCTGTCCTGGAGAGGCCACGTCTGGAATACCACAACCAGTTCTGGGCTCCAGGCCCTTAATCATCTTTGTGGCCCTCTGCTGGACTCTCTCTAGATGATCTCTACCTTTTTGAAATTATATAGCTACAACAAATATATGGCCCTACATGGGAAAGGGTGAATCAGAGCTGCTTTTTAGTGCCACTTGACATCAGTTATACATTCTAGTTCTCATATACACAGATGGATGTCTTTAAAAATCAACAATTTACACTTCAAAAAAGTTTTACAGTGAAGTTCTCTCAGCAAAGATCAGTCCACACAAGGAGGAGCCAGTCTACTGCAGGCAGAAGGCACTTGGCCTTGACGTGGATTTGAGAACAAGTCCTCAAGGGGCAGGCACCAACTGCCCTATGTCCTGCCACACCTCAGTAGTTGTGCAAAGTCTGGTGTAACCACCCCACACTGCCCCATCCTCACAGGGTGGTGGAGGGGAGCTTCTTCACCCGCCGCTGTGCCAGGATGGAAGACTCGATGGGCTTCAGCTGAGGGCTCGGCTTGGAGCTGTTCAGTGCAGAGTATGTGGCAGCCATTGCCCCCTTGGAGAGAAGACACAAGAGTGATCATTCAGGTGCGGGAGATGCTTTACAAGCGGAGGGAGCAGAGGAGCCATAAACAAAGCCAGGACCATCTTGCTGTTTTTCTTTAAATCTCTATCCCTCATTGACATGCCATTCATAGAATGATAGAATCACTGAGATTTGAAAAAGACCTCTAGAACACCATGTCCAACCCCAGCCCATTCCCAGCATGCCCACTGACCGTGTCCATCAGTACCACATCTCCATGTTTTCCAAACACCTTCAGGGATGATGACTCCACCACCTCCCTAGGCAGTTTGTTCCAATGTATTACCACTCTTTCTGACATTTTTCCAAATATTCAATCTGATCCTCTTCTGGAACACCTTGAGGCCATCACCTCTCATCCTACCTATGCTACCTGAGAGCAGAGGTTGACCACCATCTCATTACAACTTCCTTTCAGGGAACTTTAGAGAGTGATGTGGTCTCCCTGAGCCTCCTCTTCTCCAGATAGAACCATCCCAGTTCCCTCAGATGCTCTCCATAGCACTGTGCTCCAGATCCCTCACAAATCCATTTCCTTCTCTGGACATGCTCCAGGGCCTTGATGTCTTCCCTGTAGAGGGGGACCAAAACTGAACACAGCATGGGGTGCTGCCTCACCAGCATCAAGTACAGAGGGACAATCAACCCCTGCTCCTTCTGGCTGCACTACTGCTGACACAGCCAAGATTGGCCTTCTTGACCACCTGGGCACTCCGCTGGCTCATGGTTGACACTTGGCCCAGGTCCTTTTCCTCCTTGCAACTCTCTGCCATGCTGCTCCAAGCCTGTAGCATTAGCATGGGGCTACTGTGTCCAAAGTCTTGCTGAACTTCATCCCATTGGCCTCAGCCCATCAATGAGCCTGTCCAGATCCGTCTGTAGAGCCTTCCTATCCTCAGGCAGATTTACACTTTGTCCTAACTTGGTGCCATCTGCAAAATTCCAGAGGGTGCACTCAATCCCCTCATCTAGATCATCATGAAAGATATTAAACTGGGCTGGCCCCAGTACCAGACCCTGGGAAACACCATCTGTGACTGCTGCCAGCTGGATCTAACTCCATTCAACACCACTCTCTGGACCTGTGCAGTCAGTTTTTCAAAGAACCTTCATAAGCTTTCCTGCCTCAAACACTGGCATTGCCTCCCCAGCTCACAGCTCTACGACCTTCCAATCTGTTCTGCCCACACCAGGATGACTGCTTTCTAAAGAGCTCAGGGACAAGGAACCCAGCCCACTCTGTACCTTTACCAGCTGGACATCCTGGTGATTCAGCTGGCTCTGGGGTAAGCTGTCCTTCTGTGTTATCCATGGGTGCTGCAGGACCTGCTTGGCTGTCAGGCGCTGGTGAGGATCTACATGAAGCATCTTTGATACCAGATCCTAAGAGAATCATTTGGAAAGTCAGACATCTGAAGACTTCATACTTTAAAAGAAAAAATGCCGCCCACCTGTTCCCAAATTGAGATTTCAGTTCAGAAGCCAAGTTTAAGGACCTCAGATATCAGGCTCCTTTTGTATAAAATATGTTTTCAGTGGGCCTGGGAGGTATAACACAGCAACAAACCCAGTGTGAGTCAGGCACGAGGTTGTTGCTGCATGCAAATTTTCACAGCCTGAGCTAGAACAAAGCAGGCAGAGGCACACTGCTGAGCTGCTCATGAGGAAGATGCACACAGGGCAGAAGCCACACTACTGCCTTTCTCCACTCCCCTCTACTCTCCCTTCCCAACCTGCTCTGAACCTGCATCATATTTGCCTGACCCCACCCTGTAATACAATGCAGACTCCATATCGTGCCTTGGCCATGTCAGAAACAGTGTCCCAGTTGCCTCCACTGACAGAAAACTTTCCCCCGCCTATTCGAGTCAGGATCTCTTCTGGAGTGTCACTGGGTCCGTTTGCAAATGGAGTACAGCTGAGGAGAGATGAGAGCAAGAACGACATTTACCATCCTGTACCCAGGCCAAGGAGTGGTTCTGGGCAGCAAGAAGCCACGGAGAGAGGCACTTACCCTGCAAGCATAGTGTAAAGGAGGACTCCCAGGCTCCAGATGTCACAGCCCTCATCATAGCCCTGTCGCTTCAGTACCTGGAATATGCAAAGGAGAAGAAATATGTTTGGTTCTGGTTGCTGAGCTTGTTTCAGCTTGTGAAGAGCAGCATAAGCCCCCTGTGCAGGCTTGGTGCAAAGCTGCTAAAGCCCCACTGAACAGCAAAGACGTGGACTAAAGGTCAGCATTCATATCAGACTTCAGTTTCACGGAACAGAGTAACCCTCCCAGCTGCATCAAAATGACAAGTAAGAAAGAAACTATGTTCCAAAGTGATGACACTGCATATATTATCCACTGCTTTCCATCTCTTTTTCTTTCTTCCACACCAAGATAGCTGGAGGGAAAGTAATCCCACTCCTTTTAACAGGTCAGTTAATCAGGATGAGAAGCAGCCTATGAAATCATTGGGATTTTAGCATCTCATTTCCCTACACAAAGCCCCAGCAATATGGACAGCACAAGCTGGAGGACTGCACTGGGGATCCCATTTTATTCTGTACTGTAGGTATTGTTATTTTTCTAATTAACTAATCCAAGACAAAATATGCCAGAACAGGCACAATTAGACCAATCCGTGCCGAATTAGAACACAGTCTGGGGGAGGGAAATGACAGCTACTGAAGCCTCAAGTCAGCAAGGCGCTTACCTCAGGTGCCACAAAGTTTGCAGTATAGCAAGGAGTCATGAGAAGACCATTCTCAGCTCTCAGCTGCTTGGCAAAGCCAAAGTCACATATACGAATGCTTTCTGGGTTTCCTGACTCATCCACATAGAGAATATTGCTGGGTTTCAAGTCCCTGTGAACTACCTGCAGAACAAAGGCAATGCTACATTCATGCCCCAAGAAGGACTGAAGCTGCATCAAGATCTTCAGCCCCTGCTCTGGCCCTCTATCTGACTTGCCAAAACATCAACACAAGGCATAACATCAATACAAAGCACCCAAGGAAGCAGATGTAACCATACTCACCCCTTGAGAATGTAGATATTCCACCGTTTTGCAGATCGTGTGTAGGACTGAACTGGCCTCCCTCTCTGAGAAAAACTTCTGTCTCAGAATTTTATCTAGCAGCTCCCCTCCTCTCATCAGTTCTGTCACCAGATACACGTACTTCCCATCATCATAAACCTACCAAAGCAAATGTAGAGGGGGTTAATTAAAGACTGCTTCCCAGGCTTCCCTGTTGTATTTCTACCACCAAGAAGAAGAAAGAAGTCAACAACAGAGAGGTGGTACTGATTGGATGCTTCCCTACCCCACAGTGATCCAATGAGCAGTGCCATTGGGGTACCCATGCTAGGAGGGCATTCTCACCCCAACGTACATGAGAAGTCATTCAAGGTACACTCACATCTTTCAACGTAATGATGTTTGGATGTTGCCCATATCGCAGGAGAATTTCAATTTCCTCAGAAGGGTCCCGTTTGCTCTTGTCAATAACCTGCAGGGGTACGAGTAGAGGTTATTCACAGCTGGATGGGACAGTGGTCAGGACAAAGCAAACAAGCTGAAGGTTTCATCACAGAAGCGCAGAACACATTGGTTGAGTTGGAAGGGACATTAAAGACCATTGTCTTAGTTTCAGCTGGGACAGAATTGTTTTCTTCAGAGTAGCTGGTATGATGCTATGTTTTGGTTCTAAGAGAAAAACAATGTTGATAACACACCAATGTTTATAGTTGTTGCTGAGCAGTGTTGTATTACCAAGGCCATTCCAGTTTCTCAGAGAAGGGCTGAATGGGCCCAAGGAGCTGGGAAGGGACAGAATCAGGAATTAATCAGCTGACTTAAACTGGCCAAAGGGATATTTCATACCATCATGTGAATGAGAGTTTTGAAGGGAGTGGGAATTCATCTTGCTCTCTTCCACTCAGTGAGTGGAAATCTGGGCATTAGTCAGTAGGTGGTGAGCAATTGCTTGTGCATCACATGCTATATACATTTACACACACACACACACACACACATACTCATAACTATTATCCTTTTCTGTATCTTCATCTCAACTCATGAGTTCTACTTTGGTGTTTTTTTCTGATTCTCTCCCCCATTCCACTGGGAAGGGGGCCAGTAAGCAACAGATTGTGTGGTGCACAGCCACCTGCTGGGATAAATCATAACAACCATCCAGTTCCAACCTGTGCTGTGGGCTGCTTGCCCCCTACCCAGTCAGGCTGCCCATGGCTCCATCCAGCCTGGCTTTGGACACCTCCAGGTCCACAGCTCCTCTGAGCAGCCTGTGCCAGTGCACTGCAGACATACTATGCTATATCCATTTCCTGTCATTTGCCCCAAAATTGTATATTTGAGTCTCACAAAATCAGGGAAAACAATTTCATTCCTTGCTATTATTTTGGTCATTACAGGGATGAACAGAAATCTAACAAGGGAGATCAGACTGAAAATCTCAGACCTTGACTGCATACTCCATGTTGGTTGTTTTGTGAATGCACCGTTTGCACACTGAGTAGGAGCCCACACCAATCGCCTCCTTCACCACGTAGCCATCGCTGAACTGGATGTTCTTTCCATGCAGCTGCTGCAACAAGAGAGCAGGGAGCAAATGAGTTGGGAGAGTTCAGGGAACACTTTGTGCAACATGATGAGTTAACTGCGATGCCAAGTGAAGTGACAGACTGCTGTCTGCTACATCCCACAGCTCTCCTCCCTGCTGGGGAGAGAGAGGAAAGGAGAGCATGGCAAATATAGGTCAGTAGGCTAACACTATCTGCATGCAGCACACTGCATTCCTGCAGCACCTCTCATCGACACAGCCTGAGTCCACCTGGCAAGAAGGAGGCAAACACTCAGTGTGCCCTGCTGACCTCTGCACGTGACAGTCAGTAGAAACAAAAGAACATTAGGATGCAAGAATTCAAATCAGAATATCTTTCCTTTAACTCCTGCAGACCCACTCTGGAGTTACTGAAGTCTCAGAGCAGCTGTTCTTCTGTCCCCATGTCTCACCTGCACCACGGAATGCAGAGGGGGCTGTGCAGGTTTCACCTTGCTGTCTTCCATCAGTCCAGTGGCCACAAAGCTGAAGCCGCGGAAGAGCTGATGTGCACCTGCACTGGGAGGGATGCCTGGGGAATCTGCAACAGGAGTTGAAGGAAAACTTGAAAAGGAGTAGCAGCAGAAGCAGCAGCTTTCCCCTCGTGGCTGTGGCTCAGACAAGAGCAATATCATGCAGCACCGAGCTACCAATAACACCCTGCATATGGCTGGGACTCCTTCTCCCTGAAGCAGCTAGGAGGAGGCAATCCTTGCCCTGATGGCACAGGCAAGCCATGATTAAGCTGTTTTATTTCACACAGGCTTCAGCTGAACTCATAAATTCATACCAACCTTTTGGTGTACGTGATGTAAATTCTGTATCAAAATAAAAGGTGTCATCAGGCTGGCCTACAGCAGGCTTGAAGGGCGGCTTGATTTCCCTTCGGTACAGCTTCTGCAAAATATAGGTAGCATGGAAGTGCTGTGATAGTTGAACGTGCTCAGAAGGGTGCTAATAACTGCTAGGAATGAGAGGCTGGGAAGAAAGTTTACAACGCTAGAAACAGTGTTGAGACTGCAGCTCAGCAGTGGGAGGGACGGCCTCCTGGCCAGAAGGGTCCCTTTCAGTCACCTTGTGGAGAAATTCTGTAAGTTTCTACCACGTATCATATATTAATGAAGAAAAAAAAGAAAGCGTTCTACATACAATGCAGGGAAATGCAGGTTCAGTTATTGTCCTGTTTCTCTGCAGAGTTCAATGCAGCTCCTTGCCAGAAATGCCTCCCTGAGCCCTTCCTACTCTGTGCAAGGCAATCCTTGTGCCAAAACCCAATTAAAACCTGCACCTTACTTCTGAGAGATCAAACCAGGGTGAGGTCATAGGCAACTCAGTATGAAACAGTTACTTGCATGACAAACAGCAGTTTAGTTTCGGGAAGGATAATTAGGAAAGATGGAAACATAGGTTGGTAGCACTCCCCAGGCTGGTCAGCCTGCAAGCGTTACCACTACAGTCAGCAGAGCTGCATCACTGTGCTAAATGGGGTGAAATTTGCTTTTGTGTTTCTGATACTCACATTCCAGTCAATAGTAGAGTAGAACGGATGACGCTTTATCTCTTCTGCCCCATCTGGACCAGAACCTGAAAGACGCACCCGCAGAGCGCTTAACATTTAATCAGGATCACCAACAAAGCGAAGGCTATCACAAAGCATGCAACATAATCGGTATTACGGAGAGCCTGTTAACTTAGCACAAGTGCCAGCATGCTGCCAACCAAATAGCGATGTGAGAGGCACAGCTACAGCACCAGGTGGATTCAGAAACAAAAAATGCCTTACCTAATCTGTTGGCTGGGTTCCTTTTGAAGAGGGCTCGCAGGAGGCTCTGTGCCTCAGCGCTCAGGAACTGAGGCATGCCCAGTTTTGCTCTAGGGAAGAAGTTATGCAATCAGTTACAGGTATAAAGAAGCCAACCCACAAGCAGCACCTCCACCCCTGAAAGTACAACAGTCTGTTTGGCACTTTGTACTGCACCCTTCAAACTGAGTGTTGATACGAAGCTACCTGCCAAATAATGCCATTACATCGTGAACACCAGCTGCAGCATGCTTAGAGAAAGAGCAGCAGGCTTGTCTCTATACACACATCAAATCTCCTCTTACTTAAGGATGAGGGTCATCGTTTCCTTGCGGTCCTTCCCCTGGAACGGCAGCGAGCCAGTGAGCATCTCAAACTGGGAGGGAGAGAGAACAAGGGGAGGTCACATATACGAGCAAGTCTGAGGACTGCACAGATCTCATTACACCTTCATCTGGGAATTCTCCACAGCTAGCAGAAGCCTTGCAAGTGATCAAAAGCCTGGCTCTGGAAAAAGAGAGCAGGCATCACATTCTCAGAAGGGAGCTTTGTATCACAGTGTGTAGTGGGGATGTGTTCCAGCAGTGCCTACTCCTGCCATAGCCCTTGGATCCAGCAGCTGCCAGATGGTGGCACCAGATCTGCACAGCAGCCAACAGCCTGCTCCAGGGCCGACACTGGCATCAGCACCTCTGCTGGATACGGAGTCACCTAATGGTATTTCACAGCTAGCCCCTGAACAACTGCTGAGGTTTCCAAGCCCACCAGTTACGCACCATCAGCACCCCATAGGACCACCAGTCTGCGCTGTGGGAGTGGCCCTGGCGGTTCACAACCTCTGGGGCCATATATTCCACTGTCCCGCAGAAGGAGTAGGCTTTCTTTTCATGGTCTATTGCTTCCTTACTCAAGCCAAAATCTACAAAAGAGAAAAAGCATCAGCATGTGCCTACCTGCTCTTCACAACAGCCCAGAGCAGGGAGGTCTGAGAGAAGCTCTGTGTTTCAAGAACCAAGGTTTTTATGGAGCGCCTCACCTGTGAGTTTGATGTGTCCTTCTTCATCCAGGAGGATGCTACAGCAAGGAAGAAAAAAACAAGTTATTAGTGGCAAGAAAGGCTGGTGAGAACCAGCAAGTGTCTCAGAGCTGGTCAGAGATGCTCCAGAACTCCAGAGGAGGAATGTATCCATCTTTCCAATCACTGTACTTCAAGCTCCATCATCATGAATGGGGGAAAGCAGCCCCCTTCTATACACACTGAACTTCACATATAACCAATGAGCCACACAGATTACATTAACTTCGATCCCTCCTCTGTCTCAGGTAGGAATAACCCAGTCGTGCAGCTGCTGTGTGTCTCCTCGGAGGCCTTTTTCCTCCGAAGGTTCTCAGTTGCTTAAAACTGGAGCCCAGCACTGGCTGAGGATTAATGCTCAGACATGTGGTGCACACATGCTGCCTCCACAGTGCTCCTGGCTCAAACTGCTGGTGTGAGGAGCAAGAGCCTTACTGATCTGCTCTGCTGCCTTCCATCTGCTTGGCCCAAGGCATTGTTTTGTGGAAGAAGGTTGTGCTGTGCTCTGACTGCAGGCTGAGGACTGAACATAGATCTGTACCACACGTACTTCTCTGGTTTGAGGTCTCTGTATATGATTCCCAGGCTGTGCAAATGGTCAAGTCCCAGAGCAAGCTCTGCTAGGTAGAACTTCACGTCCTCCTCTGTGAACATGACCTGCAGGAAGAGACAGGGATTATAATCCTTGGAGCATGACAAGCAGTACCCTTCACACTCATGTTGCTCCCTCGTGCCATTTTAAATCTAAGTTTTCCAGGCTTTGCCAGGGGACAGGGCTCCTGACATCCCCTCCTTTGGGCTAGCAGCAGGTTGGAAGCTCCTTCCAACTCTGTCAAGGACTTTCTGAGGGTCAGTCGTTCCTCCAGGCAATTAACACACAAACTGAGAGCCTCAGCAACCCACCAAGATGCCAAAGTATACCCACCTCTTTGGAAAGCCGAGTGAAAAGGTCACCTCCTCGGAGGAAATCCAAGATGAGATACAGCTTCCCCTCTGTCTGGAATGCTGAAACACAAGCCAGAGCAGGAATCAGACCCCTCCACTGAGGGAAAGCTCAATGGTGTGACATTAATCACTTAAATCCCAATGGCTTCAGTTGTGCAAATGCCTTGAGTTGTTACTAGGTTAAATACAAGTAGGGTAACTATTCGAGATAGATCAGATCTCCCACCCATGATGCTGAAAAGGACTCAATCCCTTGGTACTGCAGAAAAGCATCATTTTAAGTGGGATTTGTTCCCTTTCAGCCACTGATGCCCTACTGGAAGGGCTGTTTCTCAAGCAATATGCTGGTCAATTTATAGGGGCAGAAGCTGTCCTCAACTTCCTCAGAGTCAGAGCGTTCATCCTGCCATGCTCTGACTTGACCAGTTAACTCTGCTTTCTCCTGAAGTAATGTTTTAATCCCAAGGATTTGATGTTTAAACTTCTTCTTCTGGTTCCCCATTCAAGGGTGAACACAAGACCAAAGGCCTTTCCAGGAAAGGATTTGTCTTAAGGGGATTGTAAAGGCTCCAGCACAACACAGCCACTGAGGGACATGGACTGACACAGGCTCTGCCACTGCAGGTGCCCAGAACCTGCTGGGGACAGTGGCAGGCACACCTGTCCCAGCCAGCCCCACACTCACCGTAGTGCAGCTTCACCACGAAGGGATGGTTTACATCGGCTAGGATGTCCCTTTCTATCTTTGTCCTTACACGGTCACGCACTGTGGGAAAAGAGGAACATTCAGACACTGGAGAAAGCAAAGAGCCTGATGTCAGCCTTACCCCCAGCCCTAAGCTTTCTGGGATCAGGCAGCTGGTGCCAGATCTTTCCAATCTCCATCACCCCAGGGCTAGCAGTGACTGGTGGTGACATTTTCGCAGTGCAATTTCCCATGGAGCAATAGGACACCACAGAAAGGCTCCCCTACCTTTCAGTGTTGCCTTTTTGAGCACTTTCATGGCATAGAGGTGGTTGCTGTCTGGTGGTGTTATTTTTCTCACCAAGAAAACCTGAGGCAGAAGAACACATGGTTATAGACAGCTTCAAAAGTCCTCTATTCATTGCAACAAAGCTGCTGCTGCACATGCACAGCATCACTGCTGCACTAGCCCTTGCTGTGCTGGTGGCTGACTGACATGAAGACTTAACACAGGAGCAGATGGTCTGCAAGAGACCTGGGTTATTTGCACTTTGAAACAGATACAAATTACAAGCTACTTCCTTCCCCCTTCGCAGAAGGGAAACAGCAAACGGGCCAAACCCAGACCCTGGCACATAGCATCAGCGTGAGAAGAGAGGCATGCCCCAGCCCTCTGCCCCACACAGCACTGCACGCTTCTTTCCTCCTGACCAGCTGCATAAAGACCCCCGGGGCAGTGCTGACACACAGACTTTGATGAGAGGCATCTCCACAGCTGCCCTTCAAATTAGAAGCAGTCAGTTGCTAAGTGAGCGTATCAGATTCTCACTGTCTGCGATCCGGTGAGAATCAGGAAAGAGGTTATGCTGGGGACAGTCCCTTTGTCAGCTCTGCTTTCAACACCACTTATCTGCGTGACACACAGGAAGGACCGAGCTCACCTTGCCAAAAGAGCCCTGTCCCAGAACCTTCAGAAGCTCAAACTGAGAAGGGTCAGCCTTCTCAGAGCCCTCCTTCACATGGTGCGTGATGTTGATTTCCTTCACAACACCCTCGCCCTGGAAAAGAGGGGACACGATTGGCTGTGAATATACTAAACAAGGGGAAAAAAGGTCTGATTGAGTCAAGGAACAAGGATTGCAGCTTCAGACTCACAGGAACCACATCTGAGAGAGCCATAAGAGCTGGTCACAGCTATCTCCTGGCTTCAACATCTGGAACAAAGCAGTCCCCAGTGGGCTTCCACCAGGCAGCGCCATTACAACCCCACACTCTCCCCAGCACCAGGGGTGTTGCGTTCTTTTGAACTGCATTTCAGATGAGTGCTTGAAAGCACCTTTAAGGCACTGGTGGCAAAAACAGGAGTGTTTATGCCACTAAAAATCCCACAACACAAAAATATGGTGGTGTTGTCAAAACATGGCCAGGGCTGGCAAAAATCAGACATGTTGGAGCCCATCTGCTCAGCAATCTGAGCAACTCTGCAACATAAGCCTTGGTGCATCTTCAGCACATACAGATGATGCTTTTAACAGACTCAAACCTTCAGAAAGATTGAGGGGAAGCCAAGGTCTCTGGCACATGTTTTGTTTAAAACACATTCTTTTACTAGATACTAGTTAGATTTCCCCCTTGCCGAGCAGGGGGAAAATCAGAGTTTGTTTTCCAGAGCTACTCAGATACTCACTCCGGAACCCACCTAATCAAAGCTTTTAGAAAACAACAGGAACTGAGCTGCAGGCTCTGCCTCCCGCACACACCGAGCTCCCACCCTCGCTCCTCCTTGCAAAGCACACGGATGTGGTTGCTGCCTGCAGCACAACATTGAGCACCCCTCCTTTCCCACTCCTGTGCTTGGCTTGTCACTACGTAAGATAGGGCTTTGTTCCGTGTCTGTTGGTAGCTTTGCTCTCTCGGGATCCTGTGATGTCCAGATACTCAGATCTGGCAGAGAGAGCCATGGACAATACAGTCTGAGCACATGGAGAGAGTGATGAGACAGGAGCTCCCCCTATGTCACAGAATCATAGAGCCATGGAAGGTTGGAAAAGACCTCTAAGATCATCTAAAAGTGTCAAGCCACCCTTGTAGAGTCATAAATGTTGGAAAAGACCTCTAAGATCATCGTGTCCAACCATCAACTCATCTCCTCCATGCCCACTAAGCAAACCTCAGTGAGCACAGTGAAGAAAGATATTACAACCTCTATGACAACAAGGTCTCACATTCCATGTGATCTCTCAGCTTCAGTCAGCCATCTTACAGCTCTAGTTTTGTTTGGAGGCTTTGCTCACGGCAGACAGCTGTTGGTCGGGAACAGCTTCCCACCTTCAGCCAACAGTTGGCCTATAGGTCTCCATGGCCTCCAGGTGCCCATGTGGGCTGTGTGGGGTCACGTGAACCATTAGGCACAGTAAAACAAACACCCTGAAGGCTGGCTGTGTCACAGCAGGGCTGCCTGCAGGCTGCTGGGCTCCTTCCCTCCCTCCTGCCATCTTCATGAAAACTCATGAGAGAAAACAAGCCTACGTGTCGCTGCCTTGTATTTCACCCTGCAGCTTCACACACTTCGGCAGAGAGGAACATTGAAAACGTACACGATCTGCTACATCCAAGACACCTCCTCATACCACAGCTGTGGGAACTCTTTGCCTTGGCCAATGGCAAAACCCACCATGAGCTGCAAAGGGTCTCCGCAGCCCAACCTGCAGCTCTGAGACCAGATCCTACACCACAACACAACTCCAGCACAACAGCCCCCACGTGCCACTGAGCCGCGGCACCAACAGCCTTCACTGCACCGTGATGAGTTTCTTACAACGGCACCACAAAGCAAACCAGCCCACAAGGCACAAAGACAAAAGCAAACCAGAACATTCATCTGAAGCATCGGCCCACCAGGATGAGCAGCAGGCAACGCAACCTACATACTGACCGGGCTGGGGAGCGGGCTGGGGGCCGGCAGCTGCAGGCTGCAGGGCTTCGCTCGGTGCTTCCTGTGCAGCCACAGCGTGAGGAAGGCGCAGATGCGGGGCAGCTTGGGGTCCCTCTCCATTCTCCCATCCCGCTCAACATCGCAGGGTCCCAGTGACCACCTCGGGGAGCTCCTGGAGCTGGGGAGGCTCGGGCATGGGCACACGGACACCAGCACACAGCCACGCTCGAGGAGATGCGGGTGGTTAAAGCCCGCCGGCAGATGAGTAGCGGAGATGAGCGATTCGGTCACACGGAGGCAGGTTCATGCTCCTTGGTGGCACTTGTGGTTGGGGCTTTTTTTTGTTGTTGCTGTTTTGCTTTTTAAAAAAAATCTCACAGCTCCGTGTTCACATTCGATTTCCCTTCCCTGGCTCAGAAAAGATGCTCTCTGACAGAAAATGTGCATGGTGTAGTCTGACTTCCATCTAGCACCGTGTGCCATGCTCACACTGGGTATTTCCACAACAGGAGAATATGCTGATAAGCCTCTGTCTCTTTTAAAAGGAAGAGAAAAATGAATGAACCCCCACGCAGAAGCCTGGCAGCACTTCCGTTGGCTCTCCCACAGGGATGATGGTCACCCTCAGCGAGATGTGGTGGGTACCAATTCCATGGTGAACCTTCTGCCACCATTAGGGTTTACACCTACCCCTTCATTTTTATTTCAAACCCAATCCTTTTTGCCTCATTCCCCCTCCAAACCCATGTTCTCCTTTGACCTTTTCATGGAGTCTGGACTAATGTCTAATGCAGCAGCACCCTCTGAGCATAGATAAAAACGAAACCCCTTGAGATGAGTACAATGACACCCACACATCTTTGCAACTAGAAATACCCTGTGTTGCTGTTGACTTCTGAATTTCTGCAGAACACAGTCTGAAAACGGGACTCAGAGAGCCCATTTATGACAGTCCCGCCTCTTCCACCCCTGTACCATGCTCTTTGATAACCAGTAACGAAAGAATCAAATGACTGAATGCCAGCAAGCCAGCCGGTCCCAGCTCTGCAGGGAGAGCCTCAGCACCTGGTGACAATGCCCAAAGCAAGGGGCTGGGGGCACAGAGCAGCACGGGACAGCACTGCACAGTCACTCAACAGGAGCTCTCCAGAACCTCAGCTCATTCTGACACCTCCTTTGCTCTGCAGGGATGCAGATGAGCATCACCACTTCCAGGGAAGCTCCGTATCACCACAGGAGCTGCAGTAACAGCTCTCTGCAGATGCACCTGGAGCTATTTAGATCTGATAAATTTTGTTCTGACCACGACAACGTTACGTGTTGGGTTACCACCACTCAGCTCCCTGAAGAAGCCACCTGATGTCCACACAGCTCAACAGCAGAGCCCCGCAAACTGACAAGATCAGAACGTGGCAGGAGACAAGAACGACAGCACATAAAGGGGGTTGGTGTGGGCAGGAAGGAGGAGGAGGATGAAGTCAAGTCTGGGATGTCACATGAGCAAGTGACTAAGCGCTGTTTGCTCCATGAGCACTTCCATGAGCGGAGACAGCTCTGTAGGTAAATCTGCAAGGCAGGGATGGTGCTGGGATTCCTGCAAGCAATGCTTCCCCCTCATACTGTGCTAGGACATAGGACAAATGCCATTAAGCGCACCACTCTCCCAGAGGCTCTCTTACCTTGTCTGCGGAGTCCACCAGATCTTTCTCTACCCAACTGATGTCTGACTTTGCCTGCGGAACAATAAATAAGTGTCAGCACAAAGGGTCTGCAATACTCTGCTAAAGCTTTCCCAGAAAACTCGTTTAGCCAGAGGGCGAGCTGCTTGCAGCCCCTGGTCAGTCCCACTACACGCCCTGATCTGGTGGTGGTTCCAGGAGAGCAGAAGGAGCCAGCTGCTGTTGGAGCCTTGGACAGACTCCGACAGGCAATGGAGAAGGACGCGTGGTGCTGGCAATGGGATCCGTGTGCTCCCTGTGATCCAAAGCACTGCTGCCAAAGAGGGAGGCCCAGCACTCCTGAAACAGCTGTAGGAACACGTCCAAACGCTGAACCTCACTGCATCCCTCCAGGGCAGGGCAAGGCCGACGCAGGCTTGAGCAGCAGTAGAGATACTGGAGTACACTTTGGGACCAGATGCAATGCTATAAAACCTTACAGTGAAACTAAGGAACATTTAAAGCGAGGTTAGAAAATAAGTGCTTCTCAGCTAGGATATGGCTCTTTCTCCTCATAAGAACTCAGACATGGAAGAAGTTTTGGATGGACAGAGCTTAGATCCTGAAACCTGTTATGTTTTTATGAGTACACGCAGACATGCTATCACATAGGTGCCCTTTGGTTTAGTTTTGAAGAATGAGCTGAAGCTCAGATAGAAAAAAACACTCAAAAAAATCAGATCAGAAAAATCTAAACATATTTGCAATGTTTTCCCCAGGGTGCAAGCCTTCAGCCCACAGGTCTGTTCAGGAGAGTCCTGAGGAGGGACCCGAGCTCCTGCTGCTCCTCCAGCAAGTCAGAAAGCAGCACAGGAGCACCAGTGGGGAGAGGAAAGGTGAGCCCCAAGGGAAAGGAGGTGCGGCAAAGCTGCAGATCAGCGCTCAGAACTGACAGATTGAAAGTCCGGAAGGACTGAATCACATCGGAGGGGCCCTTTGTTCACCTCTTCCCCTTCCTCCCTCGCTGCATCTCCCTGGGGGTGTGGGGAAGGGCTGTCCCACCCCGACACCTTCCGCCAGGCATGGACCCGCTGCACAAGCGCAGGTCCTGTGGTCCAACCCCACCAGCACAACAGCAGCCATCTCCTGCCCGCAGCCCCAGGGGAGGCCATCTTGCAAATTCCTGCACGCTGGGGAAATCACCTCCGCGCTCCTGGAAAAGCAAAGCGCAGCCATGTGTGCCCGCAGCTCTGAGCACAGGAAGTTGCAGAAGTCGGAGCAGGAGATGACTTCTGGTGAACTTCCCAGCACAGATGGCTCATCCCATGCCAGGGCTGGGGGCACGTGCCGCTCCAAATAAAAATCCGAATTCTCCTTCCCGCTTTCTCCTTTTTGAGGAAAGCTTTTGCGAACCAGAAGCCAAGAGACAGGTTTGTTTTTACTCGCGTTTTGTCACTTTGACGGTTGAGACAGTCACATCGAAATGCAAGAAAAAAAATGCAAAAGCTAAAAGCAGATTATGCTTCTGGCATTTTGCTTCCTATTCATCAACAACTAACCAGAAGCTGTCGCAATTTCTGTTGCTTCACACATGCTCTGGTCCCCAAATTTTGGCAGCACCTAGGAAAGACACTTCTAGGAAAGCAGTTTTACCATCAGAAATGACTTCTGTGAGAAAGAAGTTGTTAATGCAGACAGGACGAGGGCCGGCTCTCTGCGAGCAGGAGGTTCCCCAATCCTCCCTGCGTCCTGCAGAGGAGACAGCACAGGGCTGTGCACAGCAGATACCTTACAGCTAGACACTTGCCTCCTGGATCCTTGGCTTGCTGCGGAAGAGGAGCCTCAACATCTCCAATGCTTTAGGCTGCTATTCTCCCATAGTTTGCAAGCTGGCTTCTGAACCCAACGCTTTCTGCAGCGTCCAGACTGCCACGAGAACCCCAAGTAGTAGTTACGTCACTGGGATGTATTTTGGGAGTTTTCGCTGAAAGGAAACTGCGGTTTCATGTGGGGAAATTGCTCTGTGTGGCGATGGCTGCACAGCACCTTCAACTCAACGCGAACACCAGATGACTTCTGGGTGCTCCGACATGGCTCTTTCCACCAGCAAACCTCAGCAGGCTTTCCAAGAGGACACGTATTGTGGTCTCACGTCACAGACAGAGCAATGTGAGGCAGCATACAGCAGCTGAGCCCCTTCAGCTCTTCCCTAAAGTTACACTGCCTTTCTTCTGAGTCACAAATGCTGTTTCCAGCATCAGTTCCCAGAGATGGATTGCAGCTCTCCAGGAAAGGGGTCAGAAGGAGCTGTTTTCTACACCTTCCACTGGTTTGCCCCTGCCCCACGCTGGAGTCTCAGCTCGGCCACCTGCATCCTGCTGCATCAGGGCTTTTAGAAACCGCTGCAAGGCCCCACGTGAGCCCAGCACACTGACATCTGGTGAGCATTGTGCAATGCTGCCTGCTGGCTTGGGGTCAGCTCCTGCACCATGACACTGCTCTCTGACATGGAGATGTCCTGACACAGAAAGGAGGTGAGGAGATGGGAACTGGGAATGCTCACATAGGGCAGCGCAGCCACGGGCCCTGGAGGGGCTGCAGGAGGGCTTCAGTCCTACGGCTCTGAGCCAATCCTGTCCTGGTGTCTGCTTGTAAGGAAAAAAGCGAGCCACGTGCTTATTCCTAGCTCCCTTCAAGAGGCCATCTGCATTTCATCTATGCAAAGTAGATGCCCTATATGGCTTCTGAAGTTACCCAGCTGCTTCACCAGTATCACTGCCATGGTATTCACAGGAACATGCAGTACAGCACATGAACATCGATGGGGAGGAGAAAGCCAGGCTGAACCAGCCTTCCACTATCACACTTCCAGAAGATCTGAGTTTGACACCTGGGGAGATCTCAGCTGCTTGTAAGCCTTATTCCATATCAGGTACGTGGTGCTCCCACTGCAGAGCTTGGAACAAACGGGAAGTTGGAGGTGCACAGGAAAGAAATGCACTTTTTGCTGCTGTGAAGACTAAAGAGGCAGTGGCAGCTCTGTCTGGAACTGTTTTTCTTTTTAAAGTGGTGGTTCTTAAAAAGGGGAACTTACGAAGCAAAGAAACCTCACCAGCCACTGCCTTCCCTCATGCACAAACCTTATTTGGGCAAGGCTGATGGCTGCTCTTGTGTGCAAGCAGAGAACTGAGCAGAACCGCGTCCGTGTGCCTCTGCTGTTCTGGTGGGTGCCCCCAGGAGCTCCCTGGGAGCAGTCAGGTACATTCCCTGCCCTAGGAAGCCCACCAGGCACCCATCCCTGCTGCAAGGGCTGTCCCCTGCACACAGTCAGCACTGGGCACAGGCTGCCAGGGGCTGAGGAGGCACCAACAGAAGGAGTGTGGCCACAATCACACTCAGCCCTTGAGGCAGAAGCCATTTTGATGCAAAAGGAAGCAAACTGTTGGTCACATTGCTGAGGATTGTAGCTCACTGTCTTAATGTCTACCAGCTCCTGAGAAGGTGAGGAGGGTGATGCTGCTTTCCTGCAGAGGAAACTGCCCCCCAACACTTCCCAGCATTCCTGCAGCTGCTCCAAGCCTGCTGGGAGCAGTGGAATGTTGCCATGTACCCACACAGTGCCCTGTGCAGCACAGCCATCATGTCAACCCCGCACCTCCCATTGCCCTAAGCAGCAACAATAATTTGAAACCACAAGCAGCTTTAAAACTCTTCTGCCTAAGACCTATTCTCTTAGAATCACAGAATCACTGAGGCTGGAAAAGACCCCCAATATCACCTAGTCCATCAACCCATCACCGCCATGCCTACTGACCACGTCCCCCAGTGTCACATCGGGAGCCCTGGTGTCTGGGATTGTATTTGTCACCTTAACACATTAGCTCCTGCCACAGAACCACACACACCAGGCACCCGAGCATCCTGGAAGTGCTGCACTGCTCTGCATGCCCTCCAACATCACGTTAATTTGGTCACCCTTGGGAACAACTTCACTGCCATCCTGAGTTTCCCCCGAAAGGGTTACAAGCAAGTCCCTAAGAAATGAAAATTCAAAACACAACAGTCCACTTTTACCCTGTTTGGTATTCAGAAGGACCAGTTCCACCCATGTTTTGGTTTTTTTTGGTTTTTTTTTTTGTGTGTTTTTTTTTTTATTGGGCGCTTTCTTTTAGCACAGCAAAAGTTCACCTCTTTTGTACACCAGAAAATGATCCACACCTCCTTCTGTGGAGGTGGAGGGGGATGTAACAGGAAGGAAACACTGCAAAATCCTGGAGGACACAAATAGATGTTGGTGCTCCTGGGCAACGAGAGGAGCAGCAGAGACAGTGTGGGACCTCTGGCAGGGCACAGGGCAGCAGGTCCCAGGGGTACAGCATGGGCTGACCTGTGCCATTGTCCTCTCCTACTGCCACGTCCCACTGCAGGATGCGGAAGGCAGCGAGCTCGCCGGGGCCAGCTGGGCAACTCCAGCAGGTGGCACTCGGAGCTTCTGCAAAGTCCTGATCAAGCAGGAAGGGCTCATTTTGTAACCACCCGTGGAACAGACAGCACCCCGAAATGGGGGGGTAGGAACTGATAAAGGGATAAAGCCTGAGGCCGAAGAAAGGAAGAGGTAGAAATCGGCCATGGCAAGGCAAGCCATGCTCTGTAACGTCCCCATGCATTCGCTCAGCTGGTACCTGACTCATTGGAGCAGGAGCACCAAAACATTGGCCCCTTGCCACGTTTTTCTAAATGCAGAACGTTTCCCTTAGGAACCAGCACTGAGGCACGAGCTGAGCGTGCTGCGCAGCCACACTGCCCTCACACAGAGCACGCAGGCTCTTTCTGGCCGAATCTGAGAACACAGCACTGCTTTCACCACGAGAACTGTTTGCTGCCCCTGGAGCTGTCGTGGGATGTGGAAACTATTCTATCACACTGATGCGGGAATTCCACACTCCTCCCACCACACAGGCTGTGAGGAGCTTTCTCCTTGCAAGATGTGCAAGAACACAGCACATTTTCAGACCGTTTCTTAAGCAGCTTCTTTTCCCCACTGTGCTTGCAGAGCGCCAAGCATCACTCTGCCCGCATGCAGCAGCCCCACACACCCAACACAGAGCCAACGCGGCTCAGCGCACCGACATCGCCTCCCTGCGTGCGCACAGCCAGCACTCTGCAGCCAGCCCAGCCCAGCCGTGCAGTGAAACACCTGACAGCAAGGAAATCCATAGCACCCCATCTCAGAGCGCTTACAGAGCACAAAAAGATTCTGCTCAGCCAGTTCAGTGTTCCCAGACCTACGTTAGAAGCTGTGCTGCTTTCAAGTACAAACAGGGGACAAGCGCTCTCATTGCTGGTACCTGAAAGTGAGAAGGACTTTTCCCACATGGCTAAAGTTCATTCCTTTGAACTTTGGTGGGCAGATGGATGACACGGGTTTCCTCCACATGGCAAAAGAGGTTTTGTGTAGCTTTTTTTTTTTTTTTTTTTTTTTTTTTCCAGTAAAAGAGGCTTCTGGGAGACGGACCTTGCAGCAATTTCTATTAATCAATGAGGTGGATGGAAATGGAAGAGGAAAAAGCAGAGCAGAGTTCTGATCGGTCAGACATCAATGTGCGGAGGGCCATTCCCAGCCCTGCCTTCCTCACATGCACTCCTGCAAAATGACCCCTCTTCAATTATTCACTAGAGCCTGCAACTCATCAGAGAGGCTCTGCTTTTCAAGCAGGCATTTTGTTGCTGTGGTTTTAAGGAGCTCAGACACTTGCTGTTAACCATCGCCTGCCCCGCTGAGGACAAAGAGCTGTTGGGCACTGCATTGAAAGCAAAACCACTCGATGACTTCAGCTGGCAACACAGAGCAGCCAGCTCACCCCAGGGCTTTGCCACTGCTAGGCTGAAAGACTACACATGCAAAGATGCAATAAGAGATGCAATAACTGCAGCCGGGCCAGGAGGGTTTCCAGGCAGTGCTGTGCTGTTCTGCACCCAGGGCTCAGGGACCCAATCAGCAAGAGCATGCTTTGCTATGCAGCTGGAAGCACCAAGGAGGGGCACTGGACAGAGAATGCCTTTGCTGAGATACCTGTCTCTTCCCACACTCAGCAGCTTTCTAACTCTTGCAGAAAACTGCAGCAGCTGTGCAAACACAGCAGGTTGCTGCTTCAAAGAAGAGCACTCCTTTTGTTTGTTTTAAAACCCTTCACTTGAAGAGGCTGCGATCGGAGCCGCGTTCTGTGTGAGGATCACTCTGCCGCCCTCCTGTTGGTGCTCAGCCTGCAGCTGGAGGTACCTGCAGTGCTGAACGCACAGCCTGAGCAACGTGGGTTGCTGGAGAGCACAGCTGTGACCAAGCACCAATGCACTGTGCTGCGATGGAGCACCTCGTGCTCGGCATGACAGCAGCTCCCTGCTCCTGTCTCAAAGGTCTCTTTTATGGTGTAAAGCAGAGCTGGAAGAGGTTACTCATTCACCTCCCCAGGTTTCACTGCACGCTGTGATTATCACCCAAGAACAAACTGCTCAGTGCTCCCAGCGTTACCTCCAGAGAGGGGGCACAATCAGTGCTGCAAATCCACTCCTCTGCTCTTCATTATGAAGTGATTTCACTAATTGGGTGTTGTACTTCCATGTACAATTCCTCACACTTGGCACCTTTGGGGAGAACGTGCTCACCCCTCAGCAAAGCTGGCTGTAAAACCCCAATGACGACAGGTTCTGTTTTTCCACTCAATTCGAGCGCTCTGTTGCCATTTGCAGCTGAACAAGGACTGATCTTCAGCCTACCTGACAATTAAATCCAGAGAACATAAGAGAGAATGAGGTTTGGTCCCTGGAGAGCAGCGCACGGCGCTGGCAATTAGCCCCTGGCACAGAGCAGCTCTGGGAGCAAAGCAAGAGACCTTTTGCTGCGCTAGGGAAGTTGCACTGAAACTGCGTCAAGGGCACTGCTGATGGCTGAAAGCCAACGCCAATTGTTTGAACACCACCAACAATGGGGAGAAAAGCAAAAAGCAGACACACTTGCACCCATCTTGTCCAAAGTTCTCCTGCTCAATGCAGTTGGATCAGCAATCTGGTTCTAGGGATGCTGCCAGGAGTGCCTGGCAGACTGCAAGTGGGAACAGCTGGATAAGCAAGGATTGAGGCATTAACAATATAGGATTGTGTTCGTCTTCAGGTGAGGGTTTGCTTGGAAATCCCGCTGCTGCACAGCTGGAATGCTGCTGGGATGACTGACCACGTGAGGGGAGGCAGTCACTCTGGATAATGCTCTGCACAACCTGTAGGATCTTGCAGAGGTTTCCAAGATACTCAGATAAACACAGTGAGGTACAGTGCTTGCAAGGACTTGCGCACCACGGCTGTTCTTGAAAGGTGGGAATCCACGCAGGAATAGAAGCCAGGAGTTGTGAAATGCCTGAGCTGTCCTTGGAAGGAGGCTGAGGGCTGCCCAGCTGTTCCCAGACCACAGGCAGCCGAGCCCAGCCCTCCTCTCCCTTCATCTGCAGCAATTGTTCCGCTGTGCTTCATACCCAAAAGCCACAGTGCACAGCAGCAGCAGGTGGGATGGGAGGAAGAAGATGGAGGTGCTAGAGCCCTTTGCTGCTGGCTGCCAAATTCCCAACTCTTTTGAGGAACCCTTGGATTTCCTTTTTGTTGAGGTTTCTTTGGTTCTTGCCCAAGCAGATAAAGGTTTTGTTTCTGGCAGCATCCCGCTGACGGGGACAGAGGGAGGGATGGCACTTCGTGTGGGCGCTGAGGAATCTCCGCTGTCGCTGCTTCCAGTTATTTTTAGCAGAGATCACAGAATGAGCCACAAAAGGATGAAAGCATAAACGCAACACGGAGTGCCTCCTGTCCCCCAGCTCAAGAAGGGCAGCAGCAGAGCTGGAATAGACGGGTACAGGAGAGACCCTGAGCAACTTTCTTCTCTTACAGACAAATAGCCTCGGGTGTTTGCTGCCACTTTCTTCTCCTTCTTTAGTCCTTGCTGTAGGTAAAAGGAGGCAGTGCCACAATCTGCTGCTGACGTCGGCTCCCAGGCAAGCAGAAAAACAGAGATATTGAGTTGGTGCAGAGTGCCAGAGTTAAGTGAAAGGTATGTGTTTATAGCAGGGATTTCATTTGTCTTCGTGCCTGTAAATGTACACCTTGTACAAACTTGGAAAACGCACCAGAGGTTATTTCAGGAGGGCTCTGCAGTTTTAAAAATGACTGAAAATGGGATTGTCAGCACAGCACATGGACGCAGCAACTCAGCAGAGGGCAAAGCAGGACGCTGGCACCCCCAGTACCAGGAGGGCAGTTCAGCCAAGTACTTGATGATCAAAGAGGCAAAGGCTCAAGCCTTAGAAGCCCAGCTGGAATCCAGCCACAAGAGACAGATATTCTCTTCCCTGCCAGAGATGTGGGCATGGTGAAGAACCGTACAACCATTATCTCAGGGGAGAGGAGTGTGCAGTGTTGTTGATCTGAGCTCATCCCACCCGTGCCAGCTTTCCCGTGATGGGTGCCAGCCCATCAGCCAGAAGGGCAGAACAGGTGGCTGAGATGTAACAGCAGTGCTGGAAGTTCAGCGTAAGTTTCTGGAAAAGGACGAGCTGAGAAGCAGCCAATTGGATTCGGCTTAAATTTCCTTTACTAAATGTGTAACGGTGACCAACTGGGAAGGCACTGCCATAACTCTCCAGGTCCCTTAGCACGAGCAACAGACCGGGGTGCTTGCTGTGAGGAGCAGGACAAGCTCCAGACAATCCATGCAGCAAAGGCTCCCAAGCCAAAGCAAACATGTGGCATCGCTCCCCATAGCTACAGCATGTGTGCATCAGAAAAGGAAATTCTGAAGGGCTCGTGCTTTTGGGGCACTGAAACGGCCTGAAACACTCCAGCGATTCTCACCTGAGCCCTCTGCTCTGGCTGCTGTCTGACTCCAGCGTGCTGCTCCACGGCAGTGCTTTGGGATGGCCCAGGTGAACTTGGATAACCAAAGGGATGGGGAAAAAGAGGGTCTGCCTGATCTCTTCCCCCACTCCGGCCCCCCATGCTCCAGCACGCACTCATCCAGATTACAAAGCAGCAGCTTACAGGATTTAAAAATAGCCGTCCTCAGCCCATTCACCCGCCAGCACACACTGCATGCAGCTCAGAGTGACGGTGAAGGACTCGGCCCCACTGCAGCTTTACCTTGCACGGAGGGTTCCCACCTTCCTCTGGAGCAGCCTGCCCGTTCTGCAAAGGAAGAGAACCCACTGTTAGCACACACCAGGCACTGGCACTGCTTCTGAGAGCATTTCAAATGGGACAAACTGGGAATGCTACTTTCAGATGGGTACGGAGCACTCTCCATGCATCCATAGGATGCAGCAAAGGATGAGGCAGGGATAGCAAAGCAGCGCCAGAGAGCGGTTTGCAGCCTCACGGCCATTTTGCTCTACACTGGTTTTAATGGGAGATTTTACTGGTTATTTATTACTATATCACAGCTGATAACACTCCTTTCCTGGAGAAGCAATGGGACACCAACCTGACATCTGCCCTAGGAGCACGACTGCTTGCGGAGTGCTCCTTGTGGAGTGAAGGAACAGTGCTGCCGTGAAGGCTCAGAGGAGCACAGCCCCAGTGTTTACATGGAGCTGTTGGTGCCATCAGCACAGAGAATATCTAAGGAGTGAAGTAAGATTTTGTGTTTATGTATATCCTCCACAAAGAGCTGAAGATAGCCAGACTTGGAAACACGCTTGTGTTTACTAGCTCAGCTGTCACCCATCAACAATTATTAAGTCACTGCTAATCAAAACCATAGTGCTGGGAGGGCTTTTATGTCCAAAGCAGCTCGAGTCCCACGAGGAGCAGAACCTCCGTGCCAGACTGAGCAGTGCGTGGCACACAGCTGGGAGCAGATCCACATGTCAGCAGTGTGATGGTCTTAGAGACGAAGCCCTAATGTGACCGCCATGTTCTCCAGCTGATGTTGGGCAGTTCGGTGAGAACTGCAGTGTTTGGAGCCAAGTGCTTTCCTTCTGCCCCGGAGAAAAAGCAGAGCCTTTATGTCCTCATTTGGGATTCGAGAGCCATTTGGGAGCACCCAGGATGGACGAGCAGCCTGGCAGCAGGGCACAATGCTCAAGGAACAGCTCCACATGTGAGGAGGGGACACAAAGTGCTGCTGCACACACTGCTCTCAGAACTTTTCTCAGTGGCAGCAGAGAAGTGCGCTGAAAAGGAAGTGCACTCAGTTGCGTAACCGCCAGCCTGGCTGAACTTGGAGATATTTCTCTTAGGACATCTTGCATTTTAAATCCCTTTAATTCCACATAATCTGAAGCACGGGGAGGAGCAACTTACAGAACAGGGCACCGCTGCTCTGATACATAATGAGGACAAGTGTCAGGGCGGGCAGCACCACGTGGGCCGTGTGCTGCTATCAGCACTGCCAGCAAACATCGCCCCGCAGCACCAGGGAAAGGACGTAACTCTGCAAAAACAAACATCTCCAGCCCTTCCCTCCAGAATTCCTCATGCGCAAGGAGTCAGAGCTCAAAGTGTATCACGGACAGAAATCTCTGTGCTTCCTCCCCTATCTTTGATCATCGCTGTCTTCATTTTTCAGCTAAGATGCACACAGAAGATCGTTACTCGTGAATAGCTTCTGCTCAAAAAGGGATGAGCAGATGCATATATACAGGCAAAAATAATTAGCTTGAAGTGGTTGGGTTTGTCGTAATCCCACGTCAGCTGTGTTGCTCTGTGTTTGTAACACGACAAGAGTTCAAAGACAAGCACAGCCGTGATGGCAGCTCCCATCGCTATGGTGATGCAGTCATTCAGCTCTGCTCCACCACTGGTGCTCTGCCCCACACGGGTTTTTCATAAGCACATAAGCAATATTTTGAATAGGCAGAAGAAAGAGCAGGGGAAAAAAAAAAGAAATGAATGAAATCATAGAATAGCCGGGGTTGAAAAGGACCACAATGATCATCTGATTCCAACCCCCTGCTATGTGCAGGTCGCCAACCAGCAGACCAGGCTGCCCAGAGCCACATCCAGCCTGGCCTTGAATGCCTGCAGGGATGGGGCATCCACAGCCTCCTTGGGCAACCTGTTCCAGTGCCTCACCACCCTCTGGATGAAAACTTCCTCCTCATATCTAGCCTAAACCTCCCCTGTCTCAGTTTAAAAGCATTCCCCTTGTCCTATTACTATCCACCCTCGTAAACAGAAGAAGGAAGCACGATGAAGTGAGCTCAATCCCTAGGACAGGTCACTCTCCCACTGCTTTCCCAGCACAGCTCTGGGACAGTGGCTGCTGGCTGTGACCGGCACTCAGCAGCTGCTCCTGGAGAGCGGTGGAAAAACCCCCAATCTGACACACGGGTCGGGTTCCTCCGCAGCACAGTGCCGGCACCTCTGCTCCGTGACTCAGAAAGCAAAGGTTGGAGGAAGCCGGCTTTACACCTCAATGGCAACGATCCCAGGCGATTTACATAACGCATTCCAGAAAAGTCTCTTTAGTCTCTCTTTGGTGCCACCCTGCCCCACAGAAGGTAAACCTTCCTGCCCCTAGCAAACAGAACCTCGCAGGTGCAAAACTCCCACCAAGTCCCTCTCTGCCATTCCCAGGCCGAGTCGGCTCCGGGTGCCGGCAGCCGGGCCCAGAGGTGCAGAACTTCTGCCCGTGCTGCCGAGAGCACCGCTCACCTGAAGCCCGAGGGAGCGGAGCTGCTGACGTCCCAGCTGGCACAGCTCTGAGATGTGAAGTGCCTTCCAGCACTGGCACGCTGCTCCCGACCCCACTGCCGACCTCTAGCCCCGCCAAGGTGAGCTGGGGGAAAGTCAGCCTGCAGCTGCAGTTTACAGATTACACGTCCATGACTAATCCAACGGAAAGAGCACCCCTCGCTGCTGCCACAGTCCTTTGGAGAGACTCGGGCTGATGAACGCGGTGCTCCCATGGCTGCTTCCAGCCAGGGGAGATGTTGTGGTACTGGCACAGCCGCCACCCAGCACCCAGAGCCCCAGGATTAAGTGACACGCTGATCCTGCCCTTGGCATCTATCGCCCCGGGCACCAGTATTAGTTTCCTCCCACTCCAAGTTTGTTTTCCAGACAAATCACAACTAAACTCCAGCTCTCACCCCCCCTGCACACCCAGCTTTCCCTGAGCACGTTACGGCCTCGGGACCACAACCCGGCCCCTGCAGGGCCCAGCACATCCCCACACACCAAGTGGGGGTGAGCGCACAGCACGGGGCGCAGCTGCCCACCCCCCCCCACCTGGCTGCGAAAGCTGGGCAACCCGCCCTCTGTTCTCAGCAGAGCTTCCTCAAGAGATAATTTCAAGTAGGAATAAGCGAATCTGACTGATTAACCGTTGTAACGTCCCTAGGCGTGACAGGACGGGTAAGGGGCACAGGACGGTTTAAAACGGGAGAGCAGCGAGAAGTGAACAAAGCAGGACGAAACCCACACGAACCTGTCCAGAAAGCCGCGAGCTGCAGTCGGGCTGAGGAGACGTTTGTGCGCACACCTCGGCTGCCCTACAGCGGGGGAAAGGCTGCGAGAGGTGCCGACGTTCTGCGGCGGCTGCGATGCAACGCGTGGTGCGGGCAGCGCGCACCTGGGCTGGGGGGGCCTCGGTAAGAGGGAAGCGCACGCATCCGGCGGAGAGACGCAGGACGGCGGCTGGGGGAAGGGGGAAGCCCCCAGCGCAGAGAAGTGCTCGCATTCACCGCTCGTACCGAGGAACCGAAGGGAAGCAGCGCAGCCGTCAGCCCGGCAGCTCCGAGCGATTCACCGCGCCGGAGCGCTTCCCAACCCCGCGGGGTCAGCCGGAGCAGCGGGGCAGGAGCGGAGGGAGGGAAGGAAGAGACGAAGGAGGGAGGAAAGGAAGGAAAGGAAGGAAGGAGCAGGCCGGCCGGGCGCTCCTTTGTTCCGCGAGACCCCCGGGGGTCGCCGCCCGCCACCCCGCTCACCTCCGTGTCCAGCTGCACCAGCTCCATGTTGGGCCAGGGCTCAGCCAGCTGGGCGAGCGGCATGCTGGCGGCGGGCAGCCCCCGCGGGGCGCGGCACGGCTCGGCTCGGAGCCCCGCGCTGGGCACCGGCTGCCCGGGCCGGGCCGGGAGCGGCGGGGCGGGGCGGGGGGCGGTGCGGCTCCGCCCGGCTCCGGGGCGGCTCCGAGCTGCTCTCCGAGAGCCGCCGTTCCGCTGCGCTCGCTGCCCTGGGCGGTCCGCTGCGGGCCCCCCCGCTCCCCGGTGCAGAGCCTTTCCCCGAGCACCGCCTGACCCCCCCGCCCCGCGTTCTTTCGGGCAGCGACGTTGGTCGAAGAACAGATGGTTTGTGTACATCCAGACGCACCTTCGGATTCTTCGGTTGAAGATGAGGCGCTGCTCGCGGTTCCCTCCTCGAATACGGGTAACAAATCCCTACCCGCCTTGTTTCGGTTCTCGGGGATGCTCGGAGGAAAGGTGTTGTAAGCACAGCTGCTCAAAACACACCCAGCGCTGTTTGGATTTGCCAGGTTTCTCATGCAGGAGTTGTTATCTTCTTGCTTTTACTGAAATCCAAAGCACCATGTTTTCAGATTTCTGTTTAACAGGGTTTGTTATTAGAAAAAAAAAAAAAAAAAAAAACGTCAAAGGGTGCATTGCTAAGGGCTGACTTCACCAAGGTGTGGCTGAAATATCTTTTAACGAGCCCCAGGGAAAGCACAGCACACAGCTCTGCTGTTGCATTCTGAGGGCAGTGTCCCATGAAGCTGTCCCTATGTGGCCCGAATGCCATGAGCTGATCAGAGGTGGTGAAGGTGAAGAAAGCTGAAGTAGGACAGAGCACAGCATGCTGAGAAATTCCAGTTAATCTTCACAACACTCAGAGCTAATCTGTAAGCCAGCATCTGGGCCATCTTGCTCACATGTGGGGGATTCCTACGTAAGAAATTCCCACGATGACAGAAAGTGTGTGAGCCCAACACTGCTGTCTGTGCTTGGAGCACCCCTCTGTGCTGTAAGCGCTGAGTTGCAGATGAAGGCATTAAATAACACAGATCCACCAGGCTGGTGCTAAGTGAGGCCAATTAAACTGATGTCACTTACTGTTGGAGCAAGCTGAAGCAGATCTTGCGGAGAGTTATTCATTCAGCTCCAAAGCTGTCCATAATTTTCCCCT